GTGAATGAAAAATTTCCTTTAGCCTGTAATACTGGACTCATAACTCGGGGGGAACCTCTCGAACTGGCCTCTGAACACAGCATGGCATAAGCCACTGGCACACTCGACCTTCTGCCTGGAATACGAATGTGCTTTAACTCCCAACAACCCTCTCTGTAGTCACTCTGTGCCATCTGATCGCACTCAGGGCACTTCCTCAGAGAAGCCTCCCCTGAGCTCCTTAGTTGTAGGTTCCAATCCCTCTTACTGATCTTATAATAGCTTGTACGTGTCAAACGCCTCACATGTTGACCTGAGTGGTTATTTGAGTGTAAGATGCAGAAGGACTGGAGCCCTCTGGTTTTCCCACTGTTGTAACCCCGTCCCTGACATCAGGCCTCTCTATATTTTGTACCCTTCTCAGCATGTCCACAGCGCCTATCCTGCTCCAAGCCACCATCATTTCCCACCTTCATGCCAATCTCCCTGCTTCCCCTTGCACCCCTTCAGAAACAAAATAGAAGTGTCATTTTCCCGCTCAGATTCCTCCCAAGGTCTCCACTTACACGGGATCCAAATGTCCTGCATGGCCTGCCAGGCCTTGCATGGTCTCACTCCTACCCATACCCCAGCCTCCCCGCCTCACTTACCAGTGTTCCGCCAGGCTTCCCTCATCTGTGTTCCTAGCAAGGCTGTTCTTTTCCCCAAGTTCAGGCCTCTGCACTTGCTTTCTCTGCCTCAGGCGAAACGTCTTTTCTAACCTGCATAGCTGACTCACGTCCAGCCTTGTCTCTCGGGAAGTCGCCTCCTCAGGAAGGCCTGTGCTGACCACCCCACCTTTTTTAAAGCAGACTCCTCTGCTTCTTCCCTTATCACCCTCCTTACTTCCCACAGACTGTTAATTTCTATGTATCGCTTATCCATGTCCCCATTAGAAACAAAGGCCCCAGAGCAGGGACCTGTCTGGCTTGATCTCAATTATATCACCAGGCCTCGCACAATGTCTACCATATAGTGAGGGTGAGAAAAGGGAGCTGGATCACACATGGGTGTCTACATAGTTCAAATCTTCCACCTGGTGGCTTGAAAAACATGCCAGGTGCACGTGCATGCCCCCCAAATCCCAACAGGGTGAAAAAATGAAGGAGAAGGGATTACAGCATGACTACGCCACATTGCAAGTGCTTTCTCTTTCCCAACCCCCTGCAATGACGACAAAAAAAAAAAAAAAAAAAAAAAAAAAAAAGTTAGGATAAAAGACAAAGTCTGAGGCCAAGAAACACACAGGACCAGCAGATGGTGTAATGGTAACATTGCTGGACTCCCACGTAGTCAACCACAGTTCAAGTTCTGGGCCCGTCTTAAAGCTCACACCAGGCATGTGTGCATGCATGCCCAAGATCCTGAGAAGGGAATGTGACATGGCCACCCCCCCAGGGGGGGGTGTGTGTGATTTCTTGTTTTCTGTCTCTCTGTCTCTCTGCTGTGCACGTGCACCCTATAGCAAAAATCTCTCTTAACAACAACAACAAAAAAGAAAACCACACACAGAAAATGAAACTGATGATATCTCCCAAGGCTTTAGGGTCAGTCTGGTGACAAAGTACAACTCTTCTGGTCAAAAATACACATGTCTCACCACCATCACCATCACGGCCACCCGTGCCACCACACACAAGCTGAAGTCGGGAGACCCGAGAACCGGAAGTTCTACGTGTGGCTCGGATACTAACTATAACTTCTTACAAAATGAGGTGACTTTACCCTCTTCAACCTTATTTGCCAAAGAAAAGGTCTGTGTGTTTAGCTTTAAAATTCTAATATTCTAAATTCAGTATACAGTTTGGTGTGCCCATCTCTGCTTACCCCATTTCTCAGTCCTATCTGTTACGTAAATCCTACGTCTATATTCCATGGCCAGGCACACCAGCCAACCCCACACTCTACTCCTGCTCCAGCCTCGGGGTCACCTTCATGAACACACACTGACACGTAGATGCCACGGCTGTTTCTCACTTTTTTTTGTTATTTCTAGAGAGAAGAGAGGAATAAATGAAATTTCAAGCTTCCCGTAGGGCAGATCCATCTCTGATGTGGCAACCCCACAACTGAAAGGCACCCAAGGAGACCACCGAGTCCTGGGGCTGCCCCTATAGGTCACCTCGTGCCGCCACACGCCTTCCAGCTGATGCAGAATGATCACTGAGCTCCCAGAGAAAACCGAGTGTAGATTTTTGTGGCCCAGGCCTTTATTTTTTTATTATCATTGTTTTTCTCCTTTAGGATCTTAGGAGAGACAATATTTCAACTTCTCCCAGAAAAGAGTATAATTGTTTAGAGTACCAGCTAAAACCGAAAACCAAGTATTTCTCATGAGGTAAAAGGACAAAGCAATATGTCTTGAGGATGAAGGAACCCAAAAATAAGACAAGGTGACTTTTCCTATCGGAGCTCAATTTTTTTATATATATATTGTTTTAGGGGCTGACGGGTGGCGTGGTGGTTAAAGACGTTGGACTCCACATGGCTGACTATGATTCAAGTCTCAGACCTGGCAGTCTGCTTTCTCTCTCTCTCTCTCTGTCTTTCTCTGGTCAAATTTTAAAATAATAATAATTCAAAAAAGTTAAATAAAATAACTTTTTTAAAAATAAACTATTGTTTTATAGAAGCAGTGGTAAAGGGATGGGAATGGAGGAAGAGAGAGCAAAATCCATCTGCCTCACACTCATGTTCAGGACAGAGCAAATTTCTGACTCGCCTTCGAACCTACCGAGCAAATGAGGAGACCCACTCATCCCCTCAACCCCCTTCCCTCCCCCCAGCAACAGCTGACCTCCTCTTCTGCCTGTCTCCAAATGAAGCCCAGGATATGCTCATATTCTGGGTCTACGGTACAGTTCACCTGCTCTGGGCTTAACTCTTGCATCATTTTTGCCCCTCCCCCATCTCTGCTTTCCTTCATTTCACTAGAATATTAAAATTTTGTGTGCTCAGATTCTCCACATTCAAACACACGCTGCCACTTATCCAAGGAGAAGAAAAGTTTTTTCTTGGTTTAAAAAAATACAGTATTGGGGACCAGCAGATGGCATAATGGTGACATCACTGGGCTCTCACATAAATGACCGGAGTTTGAGTCCTAGATCTGGTGGCTTAAAATTCATTCCAGGTGCGTGTGTGTGCATGCCCGAAATCCCAAGAGGAGGTTAGAGGAGAAGGGACTGAGGCGTGGCCATTCCCCCCCCCCCCCCCCGGGCACTTAATTCCCCCCCCCCCCGCCCTGGGAAATGATTTCTCACTTTCTATCTCTCTGTCTCTATCTCTCTAACGAGCTCACATGCCCTATAGCAAAAATCTCTCTCTCTTAAAAAAAAAAAAAGTATTGGGGCTAGTGGGCAGAGTAGTGGCTAATGCACTGACTCCCACATGGCTGCCTGAGGTGTGGATCCCTGAAATTCACACCAGGTGTGTGTGTGTGTGTGTGTGTGTGTGCACGCGCGCGCCTAAAATCCCAGAAGGAGAACGGAGAAGGGGTAGATACAGCATGGCCATCCTCTCTGGATGGACATTTTCCTTCCCTCTTTCTCTCTCAGTCTCTCTGGTGAGCGCATGCACTCTAGGGCAAAAACCTTAAAACAGGAAAAAAAAAAACAAAACAGTATTTTGGTACTTTTTAAAGCCATAGTTGAATAACACTCTGTATTATTTTTGTGACTCACTTTCAAATGAGATGTCACCATACGCCCACTCTTCTTTTTTAGGTGGTAAATAAAAAATATTTGAACATACTTAGTTTCAAAGTTCCTTAGGATTTACAAGAAACAATCTTTTTTTTTTTAAGTTTACTTATTTCTGGAGCAAGAGAGAAGGACAGACACAAGTACTCCCTCTAACCCCCAGTCCCCAGGGTCTCACCATGCCTAGTCTTCCCCATGGCCTCCCAGCCAGTCAGAATTAGGGACGTGCCCCGAGGCCCACCTGAAGTGTCCAGGGAGACCGGGGAGACAAACCTAGGTCTCTCTCCATATGGCTCCAGTATCACACAGTGGTGCCTTACTGCCTGCCTGCACCACAGCGGCTGGACCAGAGAATGAATCTTGAAGAAATAAAAATACAAGATTTTGCCTTCAACAGTTTGCCCTCTTCTGTTACCTTTGTTATGGGTTATATCTCAGGGAAAACTAACTGGGTCTGAAAAGTATTCATCAAAAACACTTTTTTCTTCACTGTTAAAGACAAACGGGTGTCCTCCAAAAATAGATGAAAAAGAACTCAAAAACTTGGAGGGCCAGCCAATGGCATGGTGGTTTAGGTGGCTGGATCTCATAAGGCCAACTTCGCAGATCAAGTCCCAGACCCAGTGGCTTAAAAAACATGGTGTGTATGTGTATGTGTGTGTATGTGTGTGTGTATATGTGTGTGTGTATGTGTGTGTATATGTGTGTGTGTATGTGTGTGTATATGTGTGTGTGTATGTGTGTGTATATGTGTGTGTGTGTGTGTGTGTTCCCAAAATCCCAACAGGAGAATGGAGGAGAAATGACTATGGTGTATGGTATGGTCATCTCCCCAGGGGTTTTCTCTTTCTCTCTCTCTCTCTCCTTCCCTCCCTGCTCCAACAAGCACACACACCCTGTAGCAAGATTGAAGACAAACAAACAAACAAAAACATCAACTGTTCCCTGAAATTTTGAAGTTATAGAAAAGCTGTTTTGGTTGGGTTGAGAATTGCACAGATGTTATTAATATATGCTCTTCAAAACACAAAGCGTACTCTTATGATCTCTATATTTTTTCGTACAGAAAGTATGGCTCAATAAAAACACTTGTTCAACCTTTCAGCAAACTGCATTTCAACACTGATCATCAGTAATTCATCTCAGACCTGTGTTTTTCCATAGGGTAACAAGACCCTAAAGCCAGAAAGGAAGCCCCCTACCTAACCTCAATTCTCCAGACACTTGCATCTCCAATCTTTCTCCAAATTGGAATCACCCAGGACAAGAGATTCCACTCACCTCAACTGACTGAGAAGGCATCTTCAGTTTGAGCTTGGCTTTGGCAGGCACTTTTAAGTCTGTTTTTTCAAAGGTCTGTTGTCGGTAGTCCTCCGGCAATGGTTTCAGTTCAGGTGACTCGCTAGGGGCCTGATCTTGACCATCCATGGGCCGGACATAAGCCGTGGGCTTCTGTTGCATTGCAAGAGAGGGGCCGGGGGCTGGCCCTTCCCCCCCCCCCGCCCTGGGAAATGATTTCTCACTTTCTATCTCTCTGTCTCTATCTCTCTAACGAGCTCACATGCCCTATAGCAAAAATCTCTCTCTCTTAAAAAAAAAAAAAGTATTGGGGCTAGTGGGCAGAGTAGTGGCTAATGCACTGACTCCCACATGGCTGCCTGAGGTGTGGATCCCTGAAATTCACACCAGGTGTGTGTGTGTGTGTGTGTGTGTGTGCACGCGCGCGCCTAAAATCCCAGAAGGAGAACGGAGAAGGGGTAGATACAGCATGGCCATCCTCTCTGGATGGACATTTTCCTTCCCTCTTTCTCTCTCAGTCTCTCTGGTGAGCGCATGCACTCTAGGGCAAAAACCTTAAAACAGGAAAAAAAAAAACAAAACAGTATTTTGGTACTTTTTAAAGCCATAGTTGAATAACACTCTGTATTATTTTTGTGACTCACTTTCAAATGAGATGTCACCATACGCCCACTCTTCTTTTTTAGGTGGTAAATAAAAAATATTTGAACATACTTAGTTTCAAAGTTCCTTAGGATTTACAAGAAACAATCTTTTTTTTTTTAAGTTTACTTATTTCTGGAGCAAGAGAGAAGGACAGACACAAGTACTCCCTCTAACCCCCAGTCCCCAGGGTCTCACCATGCCTAGTCTTCCCCATGGCCTCCCAGCCAGTCAGAATTAGGGACGTGCCCCGAGGCCCACCTGAAGTGTCCAGGGAGACCGGGGAGACAAACCTAGGTCTCTCTCCATATGGCTCCAGTATCACACAGTGGTGCCTTACTGCCTGCCTGCACCACAGCGGCTGGACCAGAGAATGAATCTTGAAGAAATAAAAATACAAGATTTTGCCTTCAACAGTTTGCCCTCTTCTGTTACCTTTGTTATGGGTTATATCTCAGGGAAAACTAACTGGGTCTGAAAAGTATTCATCAAAAACACTTTTTTCTTCACTGTTAAAGACAAACGGGTGTCCTCCAAAAATAGATGAAAAAGAACTCAAAAACTTGGAGGGCCAGCCAATGGCATGGTGGTTTAGGTGGCTGGATCTCATAAGGCCAACTTCGCAGATCAAGTCCCAGACCCAGTGGCTTAAAAAACATGGTGTGTATGTGTATGTGTGTGTATGTGTGTGTGTATATGTGTGTGTGTGTGTGTGTGTGTGTGTGTGTGTGTGTTCCCAAAATCCCAACAGGAGAATGGAGGAGAAATGACTATGGTGTATGGTATGGTCATCTCCCCAGGGGTTTTCTCTTTCTCTCTCTCTCTCTCCTTCCCTCCCTGCTCCAACAAGCACACACACCCTGTAGCAAGATTGAAGACAAACAAACAAACAAAAACATCAACTGTTCCCTGAAATTTTGAAGTTATAGAAAAGCTGTTTTGGTTGGGTTGAGAATTGCACAGATGTTATTAATATATGCTCTTCAAAACACAAAGCGTACTCTTATGATCTCTATATTTTTTCGTACAGAAAGTATGGCTCAATAAAAACACTTGTTCAACCTTTCAGCAAACTGCATTTCAACACTGATCATCAGTAATTCATCTCAGACCTGTGTTTTTCCATAGGGTAACAAGACCCTAAAGCCAGAAAGGAAGCCCCCTACCTAACCTCAATTCTCCAGACACTTGCATCTCCAATCTTTCTCCAAATTGGAATCACCCAGGACAAGAGATTCCACTCACCTCAACTGACTGAGAAGGCATCTTCAGTTTGAGCTTGGCTTTGGCAGGCACTTTTAAGTCTGTTTTTTCAAAGGTCTGTTGTCGGTAGTCCTCCGGCAATGGTTTCAGTTCAGGTGACTCGCTAGGGGCCTGATCTTGACCATCCATGGGCCGGACATAAGCCGTGGGCTTCTGTTGCATTGCAACACTTTTTGAGGGAAGGGAAGGGGGTGGAAATGTCTGAGAAGATGGCTGGGGAGGGGCTACCCCAAGGCTGGCAACGGCCCCCAAACTGTCTTGAGAGGGTTCTTTTTCACGGCCCGTCACCCCCGGCTCCTTGGGAGACTTAGCCGGGCAGTAGCCCTTGCTGCTGCTGTCAGCACTGCGAGCCTTGCTGCCTCCTTGCAGCCTGGGATGAGTCTGCTGGCTGGAATGTACAGGTGACACCGGGGGCACTGGGGCAGGCAGAGAGGAGATGAGGGGAGAAAGTTTGCTCTCTGGAGCAGAGTCTGTCATCGAAGCACAGTGGTCTCCATCAGCTCTGCGCTCACCTTTTTTGTGGTGACCAGAGTTGTAGCCCTCCTGACCAAGGCGACCCTGGGTCAGGTGCTGGCCGTCCGGTGGGCCATAGCTTTTAGCATGGAGACTTGGTGTTGGGTCCATTCTAGGCTGCGCCATCTTTGGATTTTGGCTAACGTTACCAACAGGAAGTGGTCCAGAGGCGGGAGTGTGAACGAGCTGGTGATGACCACTAGTGTGGAAGGAGTTGGATGGAATGCTGCCCCCCTTGTCAGGAAATAAAGGAAATCTCGGCTTTCCCAACTTATTTTCGGACATATCCAAGCAACAAGGGTGGGATTTGGTGCTAAGGAACTCCTTTACTTCTTCATAGTTCCCCAACATGTTCTGTATTCGACTAGATAGTTCATCTCCTTTTGCTGTCTGCAGGGGGGCAAAAGACAGCAGAGTTAGTTACAGAGAACAAAAATGTCTACGGAAAACAACCATATAATAAAGTACATGATGCAACTACCTTAAGGAAAAAGCCCTCAAATTAACATATGACATACAGAATATGCAGTTTTAACTCAATTCCTCGCTTGAGAAGACCGTCGTGCACACAGATTACTAATTATAGGGGACTGACATTACCAAAGAAAACCACAAACCCTGGTAATTCTGACTAATGACATTCACAGAATTTTCAATTTTGTTTTCAAAAACCATCTCCAGGATAAGTGATCTTATTTGCACAGTTGTGACCCTCGTTCGAACCCAATTACACTGAACCATTTCATCGCAGGGTTTAGTAGCGTGATAAATCAGACTTGCTACCTTCTAGCGTACGGTAAATACCTTGTAGGGCTCTCCGAAAAGGGGGATCTTTTCAGGAAATGCCTCTTTCTCTTGGTGAGCTTCCTGGTTGCGTCTTTCCTTCTCTCTAATTCGAAGCAGGTTTCTGTCTTCATTGTACAAGCTGTTTCAGATGCCACAAAAGAAAACGAGAAAACTGATCATTAGCCAAGTTCCATGGCACGTAGGTACGTGTGTGGAGGGAAGCGAGGACAGGTCTAAGAAGAGGCCATGATGAGGGGCCTGAATTAAAGAAAGCTGAAGTCCCTTAACCCTCTACGAAACTGGTCTCAGTCAGCTGGTTCTGACGCCTCAGTCCTAGTCCTGGCTCCAGAAACCCGAGTCACTCTCGGCTACACAGCCTTCACCCTGGCTCAGGCCTGTATCCAAACGGAGCTGTCTTTTATAGGCAGTTGTGGAACCGAGACGAGATTAATGATATTTTTACGTTCAGCTTGCAAACTATGGGGTAGAGGTAGAAAGCTTTTCATCAGAAGGAGTCAGCAGGATGTGAACTTTAAAAAGGAGCCGTTTTCCTGGATCGGTGGCATACATTTTGGAAGATTAAAATCAAAAGGGTTATTTCTCAATTAAAAGATTACCAGGCACCCAAAACAGCATTTACTTTACTCTCGGCCTACTCTACTGGGAGTGTCTTGGCATGTAAACCCCAAAAGATGATTTTTATTTCTCATTTTCAAGGAACAAGGGGGAGAAAATCCCATTACAGATGTCAGCTCTACCTACTAAGAACATCTCATAATCTGATTGCCCTACTTAAGCCACAAAAATGTGTCCTAAATCATAAGCTCTGGCACCAAAGGGGTCAAAATAATTCACTGAGAAACAAACCACAGAGAATGGGGACTGGAGAAAGTGCAGCGTCAGCCAGCACACAAGCCGGGCCACCCCCTCCTGACCTTCACATGTGACGTGTGACAAAAAACAAAATGAGGACTCTAAGAGGACTTTTGTCTTCAGAGACTTGCTTCTAGAGAATCTACTGGTCGGTTTTTCCCAAAGCCATTAGAACAGGAAAATAACAGAATGTGTAGTGAAGACGGCGTGTCCCTGTAGGAGTTCTAGCCCTGATGGCACCCCCCTCTTCCACGTTTGTCTGCTCTTATGACTTTCCATGTATTTCCTCTGGCCAGAGCCTACTGGCCTCCCTGCCTCCCCCACGTCCTATCCAACAAATGCTCTCTTTTCTTCTCATGAAAAGAAACCCACTTGGGGCCAGCAGGTGACACAGTGGTTAAGGCACTGGACTCCCACATGGCTGCCTGCAGTTCCAGTCCCAGACCTGTCGGCTTGAAAATCACACCAGGCATGTGGGCGTGCAAGCCCAAAATCCTGAGAGGAGAGGGAACCAGCAGTTAGCGTAATGGCTATGTCACTGGACTCCCACGTAGTTGACCGCGGTTCGTGTCCCAGACCCGGTGGCTTAAAACTCACGCCGGGCGCGTGTGTGTGTGCGTGCCCAAGATCCCGAGAGGAGAATGGAGGAGAAGGGATTGGGGCGTGACCATCCCCCCTGGGGGGTGATTTCTCGCTTTCTGTCTCTATGTCTCTCTCTGTCTGTCTGGCGAGCGCACGCGCCCTACAGTGAAAATCTCTCCAAAAAAAAAAATCCTGAGAGGAGAATGGAGGACGAGGCACTGCAGGGTTGCCATCCACCCTAAGGGGTGATTTCTCACTTTCCTTTTCACTATCTCACCGTCTGTCTGTCTGTCTCTCTCTCTCTCCCCGCAATGAGTGCATGCGCCCTATGACAAAAATCTTAGAAAGAAAGAAAAAAAATCTGTCACTAACAATATTTTTAATTAACAAGTGTTTGATAACTCTTCACTACTGCAGAATCAACTCTAAATCCTGGCTTTGGTGTTAAAATTCCCTCATGACCTGGTAGATATCTATTCTGAAAATGATCCCATTCCCCACTGGTCTGTCACCTGCGTCCCCCGCGACAGTCATGCTCATTCCCCAAACACAGACTGTGAGGGGCAGCCTCTTGCTCTACTCCTCCCCAGACTCCCTTGACTCAAAGGTGACCCGTCCTGCAAGCCCAGCTTACCTAGGAACTAAGACTCTCCTACAAACCACCTCGATACTCCCGCCACAACAAGCACTCCCTGCTCCTAAGTGATATTCCAGACTTGGTTCTTTCATTCACATTTCACAAAGTTCTGTTGCCTCTATCTCAACCCACACACCCAGTTGTTCCCAATTTCCAGCTTCCAGCAAATCTCAGGAATGACTCAGACACCACCCGCTCAAAGGCTTCCTCAAATCCACCCAATACATGAGGACTTAACCCATCAACTGGTTCTGTCTCCTCCCCTCTCCCCTAGAACCTGAACTCCATCAGAATAGGGCCTCTCATCTTTTAGCTCTCCTGGAACTCAAGTGTGATAACTTGCATAAAAGCTAACCGTTCAGTGTTTTAAAATTAAGTCCAGCCTAGTAGTATGCATGGCAGTAAACCAAACTGCAGTGCTGGAAGCCACATGGCCAACTGGGGGTTCAGATTCTCTGGTCATCTAAAAACGTGCTGGGCACCCAAGAACTGAGAAGATAGGGGTTGAAGAAAGGAGGTCACAGCATGATGAGACCTTTTCAAGGGTGCTTACCTCCCTCTCTTTCTAGTACACATTCACACGTGATCACAAATCAAATAAACTTCATTTGAAAAGCACTACGCTGGGGACCAGCAGGCGGCATGGTGGTTAAGGCACTAGACACTCCCACATGGCTGAGCATGGTTTGAGTCCCGGACCTGGTGGCTTGCTTTCTTACTACCCACCTCCTGTCTATCTGTGTGTCTCTTTCTCTGGTCAAATTAAAATAAATGAGTAAATAAAAATTTTTCTAAAGAAAAGTACTTACCTTACAGAACATTTTTATAAACTTACTTGCAATTTATTTTAGATTTAACTCAGAAGACATGTGCAAAAACAATTTTTTTTTAAATTACAGTCAACTAAGAATTATCTGCTTTTTCATAGCCTGCTGATATGAAGGGCGGGGAGATTTTGCAGGGGAAGGTAAATTTCCTGATATACTTAGGTAGGATATATTAGGTCATAAGAAAAGTCATGACCAAAACGCGTCATGACTTTTCTGACAACCCAACAATTATTTGCTTAGACCATTGTATCAAAAATGTTTCCCAGGCCCAGCCACAGGGCATGTGCTGCTAAGATGCTGTGTTCCACAGGTGGGACCACATGGAAGGCCTGAGTTCAATTCCCAGTCCAACCTAAAGACTGGGTACAGTGGGATGTGCCGGTGATCCCAGAGAATTGGGAAGTTGAGGCAAAAGGACCACAAGCTCAAAGCTGGCCTGAGAGAGACCCTGTCTAAAAGAAAAAAGACCCTGGGCATGGTGGCATGTGTCTACAGTTCTACCTGGGAGGCCAAGGCAAGAAGATCAACACAATGAGATCCTGTCAAAAACAAAACATGTTTCCCAGATGACGGATATTGGAATATCATATTTTAAGAAAACATATGTGTAACTATAAGCAACTTATGCTAGTCAACATACTGCAAAGAGGAAAAAGCAAACCAGATACGGACTGTGGGGTTCCCTAAAAGTTGGTATCTTATGTGTTTTGAACAGTTAAGACTTACTTGTGGGGGGTGGGAAGGAGGAACTTAATAAAAAAATAAATAAATAACAGACACAAGAATGAACATTAGTGTGTAGGTAATATCTTTGACTTGCCTGACATGCAATGCATTTAATGCACAGTGTATGCCATAAAAATGTACAATGATTAAATGTAAATAAGATTTTAAGTTTGGGGATTTTTCTTCCTTTTTTTGAGATTTTTGCTATCGGATGCATGCACTCTCCGGAGAGACAGAGAGAAATAGAGAGAAAGTAAGAAATCTCAAGTGGGTATGGCCACACCGCAATCCCTTTCCTTATCGAGATTTTGGGCACACAAGCACAAGCACACACTCGTTTGGCATGAATTTTAAGCGGCTGGGTCCAGGACTCGAACCATGGTCAGTCATGTGGGAGTCCAGCACCCTAACCACTACACCACCGGCTGGTCCCCAAATTTGAAAAAGACTCAGTTCTGGTTGCAATAGCACAGTGAACTTGATGACTACTCAAGAATCCCTTTCAAATATGATTTTGGTAATTTCTCTTATTGATGCTAAAGATCATATGCCATTAGCATATACCCACAAAAGCCAAGTAAGAGGGTTAATCTGTTCCTTCAAACTTGTCTTTCGATCATTTTGAGCTCCTTTCCAAGGCAGGGCATGCAATCATCTGAACTGCCATACTTTTTCTAAAAAAAGAAAAGCCTTTGCATTTCTTTTGACCTTAATTATGCTATGAAAAGTGATCATTAATTGTAAATGTCTAGGTACTTCAGGGACACTTCACTGAGAGTTTGTCTTGGATATCCTTGAAAGTTCATATTTTTATAACTTTTCTTTCAACATCCAATGATTCTTTGCAGTGACTTAATGTTTGAAATTATTTGGTGGCTTTTTTTTTTAAAATAAACATTCAAATGTAGCAATAATGTCTTTTGAATATTCCCATGAATCCTTGAAAATACTCAGATATACATATATATAAATATGTATATAAATTCTTATGTGTAAATATGTAAGCAGTGCAAGTTTAAGGGATGTCGATGTTTCATGTGTTTTTTTCCTATACTGTCCAAATGTTGACAGTTCTGAAGAATTCTAATAAAAAATGTAAATTTTTTTTTAATTTAAAAAATCTTCAGGGACCAGCAGATGGCGTAATGGCTACGTCGCTGGACTCCATGTAGTTAAGTGCAGTTTGAGTCTCGGACACGGTGTCTTAAACTCAATGCCAGGTGCGTGAGCGTGCATGCCCAAGATCCTGAGAGGAGAATGGAGGAGAAGGGACTGCGTGCGGCATGGCCATCCCCCCGGGGGGTGATTTCTCGCTTTCTGTCTCTCTCTTTCTGGCAAGTGCACGCACCCTATAGCAAAAACCCGCCCTGCCCCCCCCCCCATTTAAAAACCTCCTAAGCCTCTGTTCTCAAAAGCTATCCGATGTGAGCACCCTGTGGCAGTCATGGCAGACCAATGGGTGAGGAAGAGCATCAGCCTAACTATTCTCAC